CTGAAATGATTTTAGCAAATGGCTGCAATATAACAAAGAGTGAAAAATTTAAGGGGGTCTGAATACTTTCCGTACCCACTGTATATATATATATATATATATATATATATATTGAACGAATGAACAAACTAAGGACTGAAGAAAAAATAAACAAATGAATGAATGAATCGAAAACTACAGATGATAACACAGATATTTGTTTCATTGAATAATTTGAGTGAGTGCCGCTTTCAAATGCTGTTAAGAAGATTACAGTGTTACTGTTTAATCACAGATTGGGTAGTATTTAGAATAATGTGCCATGATAGGAGACCGACATCAATCTCTTGATAATGATATGGTGATTAAAAAGTCTGTTCAAATACATAGTTTTGACCTTGGTTGAGGATTCAAATGATATTTAGATTCAAAGTACTGAAAACTTCTCTTTACTGTCCCAAACAGACTTATTTATTATATATAAAATGCTATTTTTGAAAGTTATCTTAAGATTTAAGCAAGGGGTGATCCAATAAAAAAGAAAAATCACAAATAATACCTACATATTTCAAATTGGAGCTGTTTAGACACCAGTGAGACTAAATGGGGTGCATATGGAGATTTTTGCTTAATTCTCCTGAGAAAGATCCCAGGATGATCTCACATGTGTCTTCTCAAGAGATCTTAATATCTGAGCTGCTATGCACATTCATTTTATAGCTCTATGTCGAAAACTGACTCATTTGTGTCTTTTTTTCTCCCTATGTTTTTTAGGAGAAATGTTGATTCTTGAGCACTCTTTTACATCTCCAGAGCTATAAAAGAGCTATAACTCACCCTCAGTGTGAACTGCTGACACATACGTCCAGTTGTAGCGTTTAACAATGTCCAGGAGAGCTCTGGCCTGAAGAGTGTCAGAGGGCACGACCCTAAGGAAGTACTTATAGAGGGTTTTATCGCTAAGATCTATGCTTGTAGCGGAGTACGCGATCTGAGGGATGTTGAACAGCTGCAGCAGGTTCTGAACTTGAATGGCCACTGAACTGGATCCAGGTCCAATCACACCAGCGATGGGCTTTTTGGTGGCTGGCGGCTGAGCGGAAGGATTTCCCTCAACGCACCACTTCTGCCCGTCCTTGTCATCACGGATGGAGATAAGCGAGTCTCTTATGAACTCAATACTCTGTTCCAAAGCAACTGATGAGTGCCAGCAGGAGTCCCTGATCTCACAACCCAGAGTGATGTTGGGAAGAAGGTTTGGATCAGCGTTTATTCTATCTAGTGTATAAAACATCGCTTCCACCCTTTGGATCCCGTACTGTTCCCTGACCTCACCGCACTTTCTTTCTGAGACCTTCTCTGCCGCTGGTTGGTGATGGACAGAAAACAGAGCGCCGATGATGATATCACCATCCATCCTTGCCACAGAGCGGGATGCTGCTCTGGGTACCACTGACCTCTGATGAACATCAGCTGCTGAGCTGGGACAGGTACAAAACAATAAGACTGAGAGACACAAGATGATGAAATTCATTCTCAACATCATCATGGTGTCAGATGTCTTCAGTTAAAATCAGCTCCATCTCGCTGGTAAGCGACAGATATTTGTTGCATTCCAGTCCAGCCATGATCATTCAAACAGCTTCCCTGCAGAATGAAGATGAGAATGAATCACTTCAGATCAGTAGCAGTTACAGATGTGATAAACTACACTGTAAAAAAAATCTGTGACATTTAATTGGAGCTGTTTAGACACCAGTGAGACTAAATGGGGTGCATATGGAGATTTTTGCTTAATTCTCCTGAGAAAGATCCCAGGACGATCTCACATGTGTCTTCTCAAGAGATCTTAACATCTGAGCTGCTATGCACATTCATTTTATAGCTCTATGTCGAAAACTGACTCATTTGTGTCAAAATACCGGCAGCTGTGGTTGCCAGAACTTCACCGTTAAAAATATCGTAGCAATATTTTAGGTTTTACAGACTTAAATTAAATTCACAATAAAAAAAAAAACTTATTTCATTAACTGATGTAATGTTAATAAACCAGCATACTGAAGTACTAATATCTGTTTTGAACCATTGTAATACTGATAACCACCAAAAACAGGTAGTGATGAGAAAGTCACATAAACAATCAAAGCTCATCACAAACAGCTCTTCCACAAGCTGAAGAGGGAAGTACTTTTATATATATACAGAAGGTGCACAGTGTCATTCACACAAACACTAAACACCATCATGGTAGCACACATGATACTGAAATAATGCATTAAACATTCATTTAACAACATTAGATGTAAGTTAAAACCCTAATGTACACAACTGATAAGAAAAAAACTAAGAAGAAACATAGTTATTTCTATGAAAAAACATAAAATAGGAAGTGTCATGCAGGGAATTCTGGGAGTGTCAATTTAATTTTTTTCAATGTAAATTATGCAATGACTGTATAATACAGTATTTTACTGTAAAATTACATTAAATGTAATTACAGTTATTCACCGTATATAGTATGGAAAGTTACTGATAACCAATTAACAGGTTTTTACTGTAGCATTTATACAGTCTCTTACTGTTAAAATCACAATCATTTTTTACAGTGTACCATGGTTTGAGCCAGAAAGTCAAGGGCAATTACATATTCAATCATAATAATTATTAATAATTACATCCTGATGATTTGTAGACCATCCTAGATATCTGTTGTAAACATTTTTGAATCAACAAGACATTGAAACAACGGACAGAAAAGTAAGTTTCCTAAACATGCAGCATGTGTCCTGTTGATGAGCCGTTCTGTGCCATAATTTAACTAAAATATAATAGCTGGTACAACAGCCACCATGCAATAATTCCTAACAGGACGCTAGTTTAGTGATCTGGCTGATGTATTATATCTGTGTCATGCATTCAACTCTCATTTAATCAGCTCATTCTCATTCTCACCTGAAATCACAGCGTGTGTCGTCACATCTCTCTCCTGAGCTGCTGGAGCACAAACTGAGCCTCCTGTTTTCATCCTCCAACATGAGCGCAGGAACCTCCTCCTCCTCCTTTATCATCACTGCATGTGAAAGCGGCTTACACACCACACACAGACAAGACACACAAATACTGAGGAATATGAGAAAAACATTAGGCTATCTATTACATTTAGCCAACTATGTGTATGTGTGTCTTGTTAAAAATGAACAACTAATCTAAAATGCACTTTTTAGTTATAGTTGTTTCCTAAATAACAATAGCACTGGTGGTGGATGAGGAGATACCCCCTGACAATGTAAAGCGCTTTGAGTGCCCAGAAAAGCGCTATATAAATGTAATGAATTATGAATTAATTAAATTAAATAGTACTTACTGCAAGATTATCCACATTCCACTTCAATTAATTTATGAAAACATCTCGAAAAAGAAATCAGGTTTATGCATACAGATACACATCACAGATGTTATACAATTAATATAAAATTTTGCAACGAGAAAACATTAATATCACACATCACATTACAGTACAGAAACACAGCCTATATACATTTATATATAGAGAATTTATAAAATATTTTAAAATATATTTGCTCAGATGAGTTCTCTGCGCTCATATATTCATGATATCTAAATAGATTAACATAGATATTGAACTGAATTGTTACCAATAATTAAAATATCAAGTAATGTATAAACCTAATGGTGTGAAAAAATTGAATTGTGTCTAATATTAAGAGTCCATTTCGATAAGCAGGTATCAGAACCCTCTGGTGGTGAGATTCACAATTTGACCTTGAAATAGCACTGATGTCCTACAATTTCAGTTGGCATTAATTTGTAAAACAACAACATTGCTAGGTATTAAATTTGCAGATGCTTAAAATAAATACCTGACATGTCATTTTTGTATCTAACAGATTTTGAAATATGAGTGATGAACATGAAAACACATTTTATTGATCATTAATTTAAAAAAGAACAATGTTAATAACCGCTTTGGATATTTTGGATAAACAAGATAAAATGCATAATTTGAGAATAAAATATTAGCCCATAATTATGTTGGTAACATTATATATTATATTATATAATATTAAAGACTAAATCTGACATGAGTTTGATCCACATCAATCAGACTGTGATTGTGAGAAGGAGTGATCAGGAAGAGACATCAATCTTCCACACGCAGCGTAAGATGAGCTCCACAGCCTTTAACATTTGTAATGAAGGTGTGTTTAGAAGATGAGCTCTGACTGAAACCTCAGTTACCATAGTAACAGAGCAAGCAGTTGCTAAGAACTGTTTCCTGTGAGTGAGAAACTACATCTTCCTCCAGGTGGCGCTCAGAGATTCAAAAAGACAAAACTCCTGTTGAGCCGCATTCAAATGTCTTTCTAAAAACACTAAATGTTTCCATATTTGAACTATTAGATCTATTACAGCTGTTAGTTAATGAGAAAGGAAATGTCAGTGTGTTCTCAACCGGGTGTCTCAGTTGTTTCCTACAGGAAGTTTGTTATATCTCACACAGAGACACTGAGGAGCCCCAGTCAAGCCCAAATTCAGCATAGAGGGGTTCAATGAATGTGCTGTTGAATGTGTGTAAGTGTGTGTGTGTGTGTGTGTGTAAGTGTGTGTGTGTGTGTGTGTGTGTGTGTGTACCTGTTTTTCTATTTTGGTGGGGACTTAAACCTGAACACACACAGACTCATGGGGACTTGTGTCACGGTGGGGACCTAAATTGAGGTCCCCACCGGTAAACAAGCTAATAAATCACACAGAATTAAGGCTTTTGAAAATCTAAAAATGCACAGCGTTTCCTGTAAGGGGTAGGTTTATGTGTAGGGCAATAGAATATACGGTCTGTACAGTAGAAAAACCATTACGCTGGGGACTTAAACCTGAATACACACAGACTCATGGGGACTTGTGTCACGGTGGGGACCTAAATTGAGGTCCCCACCGGTAAACAAGCTAATAAATCACACAGAATTAAGGCTTTTGAAAATCTAAAAATGCACAGCGTTTCCTGTAAGGGGTAGGTTTATGTGTAGGGCAATAGAATATACGGTCTGTACAGTAGAAAAACCATTACGCCTATGGAGAGTCCCCACAAGGATAGCAAACCAGACATGTGTGTGTGTGTGTGTGTGCATGTTTATGGGGTTTATGAGGACACAAATTTGTATAATAACATGGGTATGACATAGGTATTACAACGAGAAGGTGATTTATGAGGACATTTTCAGTGTCCCCGTAATTCAAAAGGCTTATAAATAATTCAGAATGAGTTATTTTGAAAATCTAAAAATGCAGAAAGTTTCCTGTGAGGGGTAGGTTTAGGGGTAGGGTTGGTGTAGGGTAATAGAATATACGGTCTGTACAGTAGAAAAATCATAACGCCTATGGAGAGTCCCCACAAGGATAGCAAACCAGACATGTGTGTGTGTGTGTGTGTGTACCTGTTTTTCTATTCTGGTGGGGACTTAAACCTGAATACACACAGACTCATGGGAACTTGTGTCACGGTGGGGACCTAAATTGAGGTCCCCACCGGTAAACAAGCTAATAAATCACACAGAATTAAGTTTTTTGAAAATCTAAAAATGCTGTAAGGGGTAGGTTTAGGTGTAGGGCAATAGAATATACGGTCTGTATAGTAGAAAAAGCATTACGCCTATGGAGAGTCCCCACAAGGATAGCAAACCAGACATGTGTGTTTGTGTGTGTGTGTCAGAGACGCTGTAGAAGGACAGACGTCTGGATGAACGCTCTTTGCGGATCTTTGAGTCTCTGCAGGACATCGTCCACTGGTAGTCTGAAAAACAGTCACAGTTTCCTCCAGCAGTGTGTGTGTCTGCAAGGCTGCATCTGTGTTGTGCCACCCTATGAGTGTCCGACAGTACGAAATGAGGCGAGTGAGGTAGAACATCACTAAACTGATCACATCACCTTTTTTCTCTCTTCAAAAACAGTGAGATGAACAGAAACTTCGTCCACTTCATAAATCCATTGTTATTCTCTAATCTCAGTTCTAAAGCTCATTCAAATTATTCAAATTATTTCCAGTGTTGTACAATATGCATTCTGAATGTTATATCTCCTTGTTTATATAGAACGAAACTGAAAAATGCCTTTCTTTTCCTTTTTGATGCTTTAATCTGATATCCTAATACTTATTATAAACATTTAACATGGGTGGAAGTAAACAGAAGTCACAGAAAATTATAAACCCTCTTCTATTTTAAAAATGTATATTTCTGTCCACTTCCTCCTATTTTCCACTTCTGATTTGTGAGTTATATTAGTGGTTCTCAAACCTCTCCATGAAGTACCCCCAGCACTGCACATTTTGTATGTCTCCCTATATCTGACACACCCACTTCAGGTCTTGCAGTCTCCACTAATGAGAGTTGAATCAGGTGTGATAGATGAGGGAGGCATACAAAATGTGCAGGGCTGGAGGTACTCCAGGACAGGTTTGAGAACCACTGAGTTATATGATAATGAAAAACAAGGGCTTATAGCAGGCCTGGGCAACGTCGGTCCTGAAGGGCCACTGTCCTGCAGAGTTTAGCTCCAACCCTAATCAAACACACCTGCCTGTAGCTTTCTAGTGATCTTGAAGACACTGATTAGCTTGTTCAGGTTTGTTTGATTAGGACATTGGCCCTCCAGGACCGAAGTTGCTCAGCACTGGCTTATACTGTAAGTCATCTATTCACAAATATTCAAATGACAACAGTAAATAATCTGTCTCAGTATTTAATATCTTGAAGTGTGTTATGAACAGTTTCAATACAGAGGTTAAATCATGTTTATATTCACTCAGGGTCAGAGGTCACTGCTTCATCACTACAATTTGGGGTTTCATCATAGATGTGTCCCTCTTCATAGACACACAGCTGAGTTCTGGAGATGCTGCTTTATGTGTGTGAACATCATCCTTCTCTCTCATCTCATAGTCATTTGTACAGGCAGTGCTACAGAAATAGACAACTGAATTGATTAATTTAGACTAATAAGAGAAACAATGACAAAGAAAACTTAATTAAGAATTATTATGCCACACAATGTAAAAACATGTAATAAAATAAACTATACTTTTCTAACAGACTCACAAACACATTCACAATCTGAGCCTTAAAGCTTTGGATGATAGGCTAATCACTGAAACGCTGTTCAATTCATCTCCCAGTTCAACAGTTTCAGAAAAAGCCCTACAATCAATCTGAATATGAAAGGCTGTGAAAACTAAGACAAAGTTTCTGTAGAAATACAAATGCTTTTGAAAATACTCTTACATTGCAATAGGATAGAAATATAAGCATTTTACACATGCAGATTCAAAGTGATTTACCAATGCATGAGAATGAATCCAGAAATGTTGGTTCAAACCTACCTCTGTCTCAACAATGAAGATCATCAAACACAAACGTCATTCAGTTCATAAATGCATTCGGTCTCTAGATAGCAGCATTAAACTGATTCACAGTATTCACAAATAGCTTTTCTCTCCTGATGTTGTTCACATTCTTCCCTAAACTGGAGTCTGTTGTTTCACTTGGTTAAACATTGCGAACAGGTGAAACAGTTTTCTTCATTTCTTAATGTTCACATATAATCCAAATGATCTCACTTACCTGTGCTAAAATGACAACAATTTGAAATATGTAAACACTATATCTACCATTTACAGAAAATATCAACAAGCTCTGCAGTAAAGTGATATGTATGAAATGACAGGTAAGAATGAAATCATAAGTTAATGCTCTTAAGTCTGAAGGATCAGTTATTTAGAAAAAGTCTATATTAGTCAAAGCAATTTCAGAAGCTTGTAATAGCTTTTATAGAAGTTAATATCTTAATGGTCTTAATTATTAGTATTATTATTTTGAATGGATTAGTTCACTTTCAGAATAAACATTTCCTGATAATCTCTGTGAGGAGCATTGGCTGTTGTCAGACTCCTTGTGCATACAAAAATCTCACTGGATTATTACAATTAATGGCAAAAGGAATGTTTGGAAATGTTATCTGATATTTCCTACTGACACGCTACAGCAAAAGATAGAAAGAACTGACCATATTTGTTGGTGGAAAAAAAACTGAAGTGTATATTTTAAAGAAAGACCACTATGTTCTGACAGATGTTTTAAAAATTCAGCTGTGAAGTTTCACAGCTGTCCCTACTATCAACACTCTAAAAATAAAATCAGATAATATCAAAGTTGATATTAGATTTGTCTGTTTCTAAAACCTATTTGACTCATTTTCTTTATGTGCATTAACCCACATTGAGTGCAAGACAATGAAAAACACATTTTCTAAGAAAACTGATTTTTATTGGTCACTGGTTTATAAAAATCAAAATGAGAAACTTAAATCATAACTGCTTGTTAAATGGCTGTTAGTATTTGGAAGCAACAGCATGAAATATATACTTTGAGAATAAAATATATCAATCACCATTATTAATCTCCCTTAATAGCTATTTTATACATGGACAGATAGATTAACAGATAAAAAAAATTTTCACGTCTTTTTTATTTTTTTAATGCTATATTAGCTAGTGTTTCAATGGTTTTGTTTCATTCTGAATAGCCTTAGAAGTGTACTTTGCATGACAGTGGTTGGATGCATACTTGTGACAGGAAAAACAGAAGCATGCATCCTGCACAATTCTGTCTAGCCATCATCGCGGACACTACAATTCGGCATTCAATTATGGAATTCACATGTTTAGGAAGCTATTTAATGTTGACTGGGGTGGTGCTGTCAAATTCACATCCAGTATTTAACTAACCCTTGCAGTGTCACAGCGTGATTTTGGGCGGTTGAGGAGGAGTGAGAGAGGAGCATGCAGGAGCTGAGGAAGAGGAAGTTTGTGATACATTAACAGCGGCCACATCACGGTCACTGCTAAAAAACCAACCAGAATTCTTCATGGCCACCAAAAACCTATGCATATATTAACCATGTTACAATTGCACACAAATATTTCAGATTGCTCCCTGAAATAGAATTGTTTTTAACTATAAACCTGTGAAAATTGATTTTTTTTAAAAAAAGCATATGGCTACATAGGGTGATGTTGCAACGACTGTGGGTACCTGACATGAAGAGGCCCGAGGTTAGCTACATTAAAAACAGGTGGGCGTTCATATTTTGTACACAAAGATCCGGATCGGGCTGAAGTTAGGAGGGGGTTTTGTCCACAAAATGATAAGAGCACACATACCTTCTTTGTGTGTTTCTTTCTATAAAACTAAAATTAAGATCAGAAAAAAGAACAGCTGTGTGAGTTAAAGAGAGATAATGTGAGTGCGTTTCTTTCTCTCAACTCTGTGTCTCACTTGTTTCTCACAGGAAGTTGTTAAAACTAACACAGACACACTGACCTATTAGGATAAACCCCAAATCCAGCGTAGAGGGGTTCAGTGAATGTGGTGTTGAATGTGTGTAAGTGTGTGAGTGTGTGTGAATAAGAGACGCTGTAGAAGGACAGACAGCCGGCTGACCAGTCCAGATACACTCCTACTCTGTTAGAGTGACTTGAAGGGACAGGTATGACTTTTCTATACTTATTGTGTCTCACAATAAATTTGTTATCAAAACAATTCAGACTCCAAGACTTTTCATTGTATCCAAGCAAACTGTCAGTACACCATACTTTCCTACTGATTCCTTTATATGACACTGATATATCTGCCCTTTCACTCCATTCAGCCTCCCAGTAACAGCGTCCAGTCAGACTCTCTCGACTCAGAACCTGACACCATTCATCAAATCTCTCTGGATGATCAGGGTACGGCTGCTTCTCTCTCACACGTGTCACTTTTCTGTTCATCTCAGACAGAGTGAGAAGAGTGTTTGCTGTGTTTAAATCCAGTGTGAGATCACATGCATCTGAACACAAGAAGAGAGATTATAGCATCTGTAACACAACAAAACAACAACTTTTAAGGTTTGTGTGTGTGTGTCCTACATTTCTGTGGTCCTTCTGTAATCCTGAACGCTCCTCCATGATCCACACTATAACAAGGAAGGATTATGACAGTTGCCATATTAGAGAATACAGATAGTTGTTCATGCTAATATTTTACATAATCTATTCAGGGTGTCTACAGGTATGAACAAGTTAAATTTAAGACTTTTTAAGACATTATGTGAAATTTAAGACCAAACCTGTGATGGAAATACACATTATATTACATACGAATATACAGTATGTAATATTTAATGTGTTTAATTCAAAAAGAAAACAAAATATCATCACTGTCAACAATGTTATTTATTATTATGATATACAGTGAACTTTTCAAATAAGCAGACAATATCCCATACAAAATATCCCCACAAAAGCACCGCATCACAGAGAGCTTAACAGCGCGACATTGATATCAGAAATACACAAACTATTACCAGTCGCTGTTTAAGCTGAATGCAATAAAATCAGAAGATTCATTCTCACATTTCGATGCGTCACAAGTTATTTTTTTATCACTTAAGTTTTAATCAGGCTATGTGTCAGGCTACATGCAGTTTTCAGTTAGTTCAACTGAGCATAACGTTGCAACACTAATAAAAAATACCACAGTATATGAAAGTCATACACCTTTTTATACACCTGAAGATGAGTAAATTAGGACAGAATTGTATTTTTTAGCTGAACTATATCTCTAAACTCAGACCGGTATCTTTCCTGTTGAAGATGCTTGGATATCCTCTCTCTGTCCTCCATCATGTCATGTAGTTCCTGATTCACAGCCTCTATCACTGCATAAGATCCTCAAGCTTTGACATACAGACACATCTTTACATTCACTGATCTTTGTGTGTCTATATCCTTTCATTTGTGCAAGTGTTTTAATCAATAACTGATATTATTAAGGCCACAATTAACCCTCTTTTAGTCTGTATGTGAAATGGAGTCACAAAATCTATCAACTCTATCAACCGTAACAGTTTTTAGTGATTATACTACATGTGTGAGTATACAGCACACATTTTATAAACTGCACACAGCGAGTATACTGCACACATTTTAATACACATGATGATTGTTAGTGTTGAACATACTTGAGTTTGCCCAGTCTGTAGTTTGGATCAGAGAGCAGCTTGTCTAATATTTGTCCTGGGTGATTGTAGCTCAGATCCAGCTCTCTCAGGTGTGAGGGGTTTGAACTCAGAGCTGAAGCCAGAAAACAACAGCCTTCCTCTGTCACCATACAGCGAGATAATCTACGAACACACAAACATTCAAGATAGCATGCTATGTGACATCACAATTGATCAGGTTCAAGACTACAACATGCACATACATTTAGGCTACATCCATTTTAGTAACCTGGAGTTGATTTGGCAATGTTTTGTTTGTATCATGGTTATGGGGGGAAAACAGATTCTGATTTCAATTTTTTTCTTAAAGTGAAAGTGATTGTAACATGTGGCCAAGTATGGTAACCCATACTCATAATTAGTGCTCTGTGTGAGTCCTAAGTGCACAGACACAGTAGTGAACACACACACATATTTTGTACACAAAGATCCGGATCGGGCTGAAGTTAGGAGGGGGTTTTGTCCACAAAATGATAAGAGCACACATACCTTCTTTGTGTGTTTCTTTCTATAAAACTAAAATTAAGATCAGAAAAAAGAACAGCTGTGTGAGTTAAAGAGAGATAATGTGAGTGCGTTTCTTTCTCTCAACTCTGTGTCTCACTTGTTTCTCACAGGAAGTTGTTAAAACTAACACAGACACACTGACCTATTAGGATAAACCCCAAATCCAGCGTAGAGGGGTTCAGTGAATGTGGTGTTGAATGTGTGTAAGTGTGTGAGTGTGTGTGAATAAGAGACGCTGTAGAAGGACAGACAGCCGGCTGACCAGTCCAGATACACTCCTACTCTGTTAGAGTGACTTGAAGGGACAGGTATGACTTTTCTATACTTATTGTGTCTCACAATAAATTTGTTATCAAAACAATTCAGACTCCAAGACTTTTCATTGTATCCAAGCAAACTGTCAGTACACCATACTTTCCTACTGATTCCTTTATATGACACTGATATATCTGCCCTTTCACTCCATTCAGCCTCCCAGTAACAGCGTCCAGTCAGACTCTCTCGACTCAGAACCTGACACCATTCATCAAATCTCTCTGGATGATCAGGGTACGGCTGCTTCTCTCTCACACGTGTCACTTTTCTGTTCATCTCAGACAGAGTGAGAAGAGTGTTTGCTGTGTTTAAATCCAGTGTGAGATCACATGCATCTGAACACAAGAAGAGAGATTATAGCATCTGTAACACAACAAAACAACAACTTTTAAGGTTTGTGTGTGTGTGTCCTACATTTCTGTGGTCCTTCTGTAATCCTGAACGCTCCTCCATGATCCACACTATAACAAGGAAGGATTATGACAGTTGCCATATTAGAGAATACAGATAGTTGTTCATGCTAATATTTTACATAATCTATTCAGGGTGTCTACAGGTATGAACAAGTTAAATTTAAGACTTTTTAAGACATTATGTGAAATTTAAGACCAAACCTGTGATGGAAATACACATTATATTACATACGAATATACAGTATGTAATATTTAATGTGTTTAATTCAAAAAGAAAACAAAATATCATCACTGTCAACAATGTTATTTATTATTATGATATACAGTGAACTTTTCAAATAAGCAGACAATATCCCATACAAAATATCCCCACAAAAGCACCGCATCACAGAGAGCTTAACAGCGCGACATTGATATCAGAAATACACAAACTATTACCAGTCGCTGTTTAAGCTGAATGCAATAAAATCAGAAGATTCATTCTCACATTTCGATGCGTCACAAGTTATTTTTTTATCACTTAAGTTTTAATCAGGCTATGTGTCAGGCTACATGCAGTTTTCAGTTAGTTCAACTGAGCATAACGTTGCAACACTAATAAAAAATACCACAGTATATGAAAGTCATACACCTTTTTATACACCTGAAGATGAGTAAATTAGGACAGAATTGTATTTTTTAGCTGAACTATATCTCTAAACTCAGACCGGTATCTTTCCTGTTGAAGATGCTTGGATATCCTCTCTCTGTCCTCCATCATGTCATGTAGTTCCTGATTCACAGCCTCTATCACTGCATAAGATCCTCAAGCTTTGACATACAGACACATCTTTACATTCACTGATCTTTGTGTGTCTATATCCTTTCATTTGTGCAAGTGTTTTAATCAATAACTGATATTATTAAGGCCACAATTAACCCTCTTTTAGTCTGTATGTGAAATGGAGTCACAAAATCTATCAACTCTATCAACCGTAACAGTTTTTAGTGATTATACTACATGTGTGAGTATACAGCACACATTTTATAAACTGCACACAGCGAGTATACTGCACACATTTTAATACACATGATGATTGTTAGTGTTGAACATACTTGAGTTTGTCCAGTCTGTAGTTTGGATCAGAGAGCAGCTTGTCTAATATTTGTCCTGGGTGATTGTAGCTCAGATCCAGCTCTCTCAGGTGTGAGGGGTTTGAACTCAGAGCTGAAGCCAGAAAACAACAGCCTTCCTCTGTCACCATACAGCGAGATAATCTACGAACACACAAACATTCAAGATAGCATGCTATGTGACATCACAATTGATCAGGTTCAAGACTACAACATGCACATACATTTAGGCTACATCCATTTTAGTAACCTGGAGTTGATTTGGCAATGTTTTGTTTGTATCATGGTTATGGGGGGAAAACAGATTCTGATTTCAATTTTTTTCTTAAAGTGAAAGTGATTGTAACATGTGGCCAAGTATGGTAACCCATACTCATAATTAGTGCTCTGTGTGAGTCCTAAGTGCACAGACACAGTAGTGAACACACACACACATCATAACCACACACCATCATCAAACTCACTGAGAGAGCTGGACCTGAGTAACAATGATCTGCAGGATTCAGGAGTGAAGCTGCTCTCTGATGGTAACCCATACTCAGAATTAGTGCTCTGTGTGAGACCTAAGTGCACACACACATCATAGCCACACACCCAGAGCAGTGGGCAGACATTTTTGCTGCGGCACCCGGGGAGCAGTTGGGGGTTCAGTGCCTTGCTCAACCTCAGTTGTGGTATTGAAGGTGGGAGAGAGCGTTCATTACACAAAGATCCGGATCGGGCTGAAGTTAGGAGGGGGTTTTGTCCACAAAATGATAAGAGCACACATACCTTCTTTGTGTGTTTCTTTCTATAAAACTAAAATTAAGATCAGAAAAAAGAACAGCTGTGTGAGTTAAAGAGAGATAATGTGAGTGCGTTTCTTTCTCTCAACTCTGTGTCTCACTTGTTTCTCACAGGAAGTTGTTAAAACTAACACAGACACACTGACCTATTAGGATAAACCCCAAATCCAGCGTAGAGGGGTTCAGTGAATGTGGTGTTGAATGTGTGTAAGTGTGTGAGTGTGTGTGAATAAGAGACGCTGTAGAAGGACAGACAGCCGGCTGACCAGTCCAGATACACTCCTACTCTGTTAGAGTGACTTGAAGGGACAGGTATGACTTTTCTATACTTATTGTGTCTCACAATAAATTTGTTATCAAAACAATTCAGACTCCAAGACTTTTCATTGTATCCAAGCAAACTGTCAGTACACCATACTTTCCTACTGATTCCTTTATATGACACTGATATATCTGCCCTTTCACTCCATTCAGCCTCCCAGTAACAGCGTCCAGTCAGACTCTCTCGACTCAGAACCTGACACCATTCATCAAATCTCTCTGGATGATCAGGGTACGGCTGCTTCTCTCTCACACGTGTCACTTTTCTGTTCATCTCAGACAGAGTGAGAAGAGTGTTTGCTGTGTTTAAATCCAGTGTGAGATCACATGCATCTGAACACAAGAAGAGAGATTATAGCATCTGTAACACAACAAAACAACAACTTTTAAGGTTTGTGTGTGTGTGTCCTACATTTCTGTGGTCCTTCTGTAATCCTGAACGCTCCTCCATGATCCACACTATAACAAGGAAGGATTATGACAGTTGCCATATTAGAGAATACAGATAGTTGTTCATGCTAATATTTTACATAATCTATTCAGGGTGTCTACAGGTATGAACAAGTTAAATTTAAGACTTTTTAAGACATTATGTGAAATTTAAGACCAAACCTGTGATGGAAATACACATTATATTACATACGAATATACAGTATGTAATATTTAATGTGTTTAATTCAAAAAGAAAACAAAATATCATCACTGTCAACAATGTTATTTATTATTATGATATACAGTGAACTTTTCAAATAAGCAGACAATATCCCATACAAAATATCCCCACAAAAGCACCGCATCACAGAGAGCTTAACAGCGCGACATTGATATCAGAAATACACAAACTATTACCAGTCGCTGTTTAAGCTGAATGCAATAAAATCAGAAGATTCATTCTCACATTTCGATGCGTCACAAGTTATTTTTTTATCACTTAAGTTTTAATCAGGCTATGTGTCAGGCTACATGCAGTTTTCAGTTAGTTCAACTGAGCATAACGTTGCAACACTAATAAAAAATACCACAGTATATGAAAGTCATACACCTTTTTATACACCTGAAGATGAGTAAATTAGGACAGAATTGTATTTTTTAGCTGAACTATATCTCTAAACTCAGACCGGTATCTTTCCTGTTGAAGATGCTTGGATATCCTCTCTCTGTCCTCCATCATGTCATGTAGTTCCTGATTCACAGCCTCTATCACTGCATAAGATCCTCAAGCTTTGACATACAGACACATCTTTACATTCACTGATCTTTGTGTGTCTATATCCTTTCATTTGTGCAAGTGTTTTAATCAATAACTGATATTATTAAGGCCACAATTAACCCTCTTTTAGTCTGTATGTGAAATGGAGTCACAAAATCTATCAACTCTATCAACCGTAACAGTTTTTAGTGATTATACTACATGTGTGAGTATACAGCACACATTTTATAAACTGCACACAGCGAGTATACTGCACACATTTTAATACACATGATGATTGTTAGTGTTGAACATACTTGAGTTTGTCCAGTCTGTAGTTTGGATCAGAGAGCAGCTTGTCTAATATTTGTCCTGGGTGATTGTAGCTCAGATCCAGCTCTCTCAGGTGTGAGGGGTTTGAACTCAGAGCTGAAGCCAGAAAACAACAGCCTTCCTCTGTCACCATACAGCGAGATAATCTACGAACACACAAACATTCAAGATAGCATGCTATGTGACATCACAATTGATCAGGTTCAAGACTACAACATGCACATACATTTAGGCTACATCCATTTTAGTAACCTGGAGTTGATTTGGCAATGTTTTGTTTGTATCATGGTTATGGGGGGAAAACAGATTCTGATTTCAATTTTTTTCTTAAAGTGAAAGTGATTGTAACATGTGGCCAAGTATGGAAACCCATACTCATAATTAGTGCTCTGTGTGAGTCCTAAGTGCACAGACACAGTAGTGAACACACACACACATCATAACCACACACCATCATCAAACTCACTGAGAGAGCTGGACCTGAGTAACAATGATCTGCAGGATTCAGGAGTGAAGCTGCTCTCTGATGGTAACCCATACTCAGAATTAGTGCTCTGTGTGAGACCTAAGTGCACACACACATCATAGCCACACACCCAGAGCAGTGGGCAGACATTTTTGCTGCGGCACCCGGGGAGCAGTTGGGGGTTCAGTGCCTTGCTCAACCTCAGTTGTGGTATTGAAGGTGGGAGAGAGCGTTCATTCACTCCCCCCACCCACAATCCCTGCCGGTACCGAGACTCGAACCTGTAACCTTTGGGTTATGAGTCCAACTCTCTGACTATTAGGCCGCGACTTCCCCTGGTCTAACGGTTAGCATTAAGGCGTTAACGTAGGGCGCTCAAAAAGGCTGCAAAATAAGCTTTATCTGATATTGTTGGTACTGTGAAGGATGTAATTTGTGATGATGAATATATTAACATGTGACCACATACAGACACCTCAATTAATACTTACAGAGCTTTTCTGCAGTTCACCACAGCTGGTATCAGTCTCCTTCTACCCTCATCTGATGTGTTGTATTTCTTCAGATCAAACTCATCCAGCACCTCCTCTGATATCTGAAGCATGTAGGCTATCGTTGAGCAGTGAGACGTCGAGAGTTTATTCACTGAGCGATTCTCTGATTTCACAAACTCCTGAAGCTCTCTGTACAGAGTCTGATCCTTCATTTCCAGCAGACAGAGGAACATATTATTGCATCTGTCAGCTGAGAGACATTCATTACCCTTGATTTTGTCTTTAATAATGTACTGTGTGACTTTCTTGATGGTCTCTGAGCTGTTCACTGTGTGAGTCAGTAGATCCTGTAAGAGTCTCTGGTTGGACTCCAGTGAGACGCCAAACAGGAACTGCAAGAAAAGATCCAAGTGTCCATTTTTGCTATGCAATGATTTATTAACTGCTGCTTTTAGTATCTCATGCAGAAGACCGCATTCCCAGATGTTCCAGTTACATCCATCCAGGAACAACTGCAGTGATTCCCTATTTTTGACAACATTTGAGTAAAACACAAAAAATGCAGCTAGAAACTGTTGAAAGCTCAGATGTATGAAGCTGTAAACTTTCCTCTGATGAATTACAGATTCCTCTTTAAAGATTCCAGAATACACTGAGGCATCAGTGATGTATATGCCGCTCTCAATCAGGTCCTCCTCATAGAACATCACATTGCCCTTCATCAGCTGACTGAAAGCCAATTCAGCAAGTTTCACAATCACTCTTCTGTTGGACTTTAGGAGTTTCTCGGATTATTACAAATAATGTAAACTTTGTTTACAAAACAAATGTACTTTGATTTATTTTATTGGGCTGTTGCTGTTGTTTTTCTGCCTAATTACAGGGTTACAAATTAACATTATTAGATTAGCATTTCATGTTAAAAGGGTCATATAATGACCAATTAGGGGGTGCATGATTATTTGAATATTCAAATATTCAATCTGAAATAATTTTCTGATGTAAATGTAATGAATGCATGTGAAATCCTTAACACCGAAACTGACACTCACAGTTATAACATTCATCGGGTGGCATGTAGACACAAGTTAATTGCATTTGCCTGCAGTTGTTCATGGAACCATAAATTCCACCAGATAAGGATCTGATTCATTAGTGGGCAGTAAATAAAAAGTGCTTTAACAAACTTGATTGTTAATTTTTACGAACTTAAATATTCTATTACAATATTGTTGAAAAATGCCCATACCTATGACAAATCAAATTTTCCTTGAGCTTTTGAACTAAAAGAGTTTGATGTACTATGAAACAAACGGTGACTTACAGAACTCAGACTTAACCTGTTCAAAAAGGCTGCAAAATAAGCTTTATCTGATATTGTTGGTACTGTGAAGGATGTAATTTGTGATGATGAATATATTAACATGTGACCACATACAGACACCTCAATTAATACTTACAGAGCTTTTCTGCAGTTCACCACAGCTGGTATCAGTCTCCTTCTACCCTCATCTGATGTGTTGTATTTCTTCAGATCAAACTCATCCAGCACCTCCTCTGATATCTGAAGCATGTAGGCTATCGTTGAGCAGTGAGACGTCGAGAGTTTATTCACTGAGCGATTCTCTGATTTCACAAACTCCTGAAGCTCTCTGTACAGAGTCTGATCCATGTTGATCTGAGTCAGCAGGAAGTGGATGTACATTTCAGTCAGAGTTTGAGGGATTTCTGCACTGTGATGTTTCAGGAGGTTTTGAAGCACAGAGACTGAGATCCAGCAGAAGACAGGTATGTGACACATGATGTTGAGGTTTCTTGATCTTCTAATGTGTGAGATGATTCTGCTGGCTTGATGCTCGTCACTGATTCTCTTCCTGAAATATTCCTGCTTCTGAGGCTCATTGAATCCCTGAATTTCTGTCACACGGTTGATGAATTTTGAGGGGATCTGATTGGCTGCTGCTGGTCTGGAGGTGATCCAGATGAGAGCAGAGGGAAGCAGCTCTCCTCTGATGAGGTTTGACATCAACACACTCACTGATGAAGACTCATTCACATCACAAACTTTCTCAATGTCTGAAAACATCAGTGTAATTCTGCTTTCATCCAGACCATCAAAGATGAACACAACTTTAATCTCTTCATAAACCTTTGAGTCCAGATCTTGAAGTTCAGGATGAAAGTCCAGCAGAAGTCTGTGAAGACTGTACTGGTCTTCTTTAATCAAGTTTAGCTCTCGAAATGGAAGCACAAACATGAAATCTACATCCTGATGGGCTTTTCCCTCGGTCCAGTCCAGAATGAACTTCTGCACAGAGACAGTTTTTCCAATTCCAGTGATGCCTTTCGTAAGAACAGTCTTGATTTGGTCTTTCTCCTCACATCCTGGTTCATGTAAGGGT